CCAAGGCATCAATTAATCAGGACAAAACTAGAAGTGAAAGTCAAACAGAAAGAAATTGAAAGCAGACTTAACTAAAATCTAGACAAATAACAGTTAAGCACGAAATTAGAAGAGCATTAGCAACAATTGCCACACATTAAACTGGAGATTAACACTTGAGAAAATAACAGCAAAACAAGAGAAATTCACCAAGACAGAAGACTTACTAAAATTGAAACGATTTCAACAAGAATCTGGCAAACTGAAAACTCAACTCCGGCCATTTCCAGTGACATTTGAACTCTTTTTGACACCGAAATCCTCATGAGGGCAGCCCAAGGAACCCTATGGTACTAATTTGGTAAGGATTGGATTATTTAGGGTTTTGGCCGGAAATATTCAAATCAATACTCGACCCGTTCCAGGCCCATTCGAGAAATGGGGTTAGGGGGGTTTGATAGAGGAGGGTGTGATGGTCTTACAGTGTAATTTTGGTATGATTTGGGCTACTTTGAGTCATGGTCGGAAAACCTTTAGAAGAAGATTCGACGAGTTCGACGTCGATTCGAGGGAAAAGGATTGGGTATTTGGAAAGGGGATGAGAAGAGGAATTTGGAATGTCGTTTTGAGAGTGAACGGCGATGATGGCGTTCGCCGGCGGCGGCTCCGCCGGTGGTGTTACAGAAGAGTGTACGAGGAGGATACAAAATGTTTTTTAGGGTTAATGAATTCTCGGATAGTTTTATTAAAATTGAAGGATCAATCGTGGCCGTTGGATAATGGGAATGGATCCGTTTTGGGCTAAGGTTTTAATTGGAGATTGGCCCAATTTCCTTTTAGTGGCCTTTCTTTCATTTATTCCCTTATTTGTTTTCTTGTATTTTCTTTATTTTGCTTTTGTATTTTATTTATGTATTTTTATATTTATTTATCTCTTCTGATTTTATAAAATGCTAAAACAAAACAAATACCTAATTAGACTATTTAACTCCTAAAATTATTTAAAACTCCATTTAAAGATAAATGCAACAATTAACAATTAAAAGTGCAAAGAAACTATATATATTTTTTGTTTTCCTTGAATTTTGTTCTAAAACTAATTAATACCTAGTTAATACTAAAATTATGAAATTAGATCCCCTAAATGCAAGTGCGTATTTTTGTATTTTCATATGAATTGACATGCACAAATAAAATGCAAACAATTAACAGAAAATGACACAAAAATTGTAAAAATAAGGAAAAATCATTTTTGTTTGATTTTTTGGGAATAATTCATATATAGGGCAAAAATAACGTGCTCACAGCTGCCCCTCTTTGCCCGGAAACACGAAGAATTTTCGTGCAAAGATAAGTGAGCGGAAACGAGCGATTT